GGGTAGAGGGAGAGGGGGGGGGGGGGGAGTGAGAGTGAGAGAGAGCCTGCGGCGGCCCGCGGGGTCGAGCGGCGCGCACTGCAGCGCCAGCTCAAACGCGAGCGCCTACCACACCACCCACGGGACTGAACCCACGCCGGGTTCGGTCCTCTGGAGGTAGGGTACAGCTCCAACGCGAGCGCCTCCTCCGCCGCGTCGAGGTCGGCGCGCGACAGCGCGAAGAACGGGCCGCGCAAGCTGTGCCGCGCCACCAGCCGGCCGACGCAAACGGCGAGCCGCGTGTCCGCGATGCCCTCGCCCGGCACCGGCGGCGGCGCCTAGAGGAGATCTCCAAGAAAGTTGAGGGCAAGTTCGCGGCAAGCGACCTCGCCCGGCACGGCCGGCGGCGCCTTCTTGCGGCGCGGCGCGCCCAGCCGCAGCAGCTCGGCCGCCGCGGCGGAGCGCGCCGCCTCGCGGTCGCGCTTGGAAGTCTTGCCCTCCGCCTCGGCCTGCGCCGCCAGGCGCCCGTTGTGGCTCGCCTGGGCGGACGGAGGAGAGGGCAGCGTGGGAGGAGGCGGGCATGGGGGGAGGCAGGCGTGGGAGAAAGCGGCCGTGAGAGGAAGCGTGAGAGGAGGCGTGAGAGGAGGCGTGAGAGGAGGCGTGAGAGGAGGCGTGAGAGGAGGCGTGAGAGGAGGCGGGCGTGCGGGCGAGCGGAGGGCAGGGAGCGGGCCCAGAGCGGGTTTGTGGCTCGCCTCGGCCGCGCGGGCGGCCGCCTCCGTCTCGCTCGCCTGCAGAGGAGGTGTTCCGAAGGAGGTCCAAGGCTAACGCGCCTCGGGAAAGGAGCGCCGCCCCCTCTTTGCTCGCCGCCGCCACCAGCGCCGCCAGCAGCGCCAGCCGTGGCTCGGCGCCGAGCGACGCATACGCCGCCTCCGCAGCCCGCGGCTCGTCCGCCGCGCGCAGGGACGGCGCCGAGAGCGCGCTGGTCGCCGCCTCGAGCGCCGACGCGGCCCACGCGCCCGCGTCGTTGCCGGGAGAGCGCGCCGGCGCCGGCGACCCGCCCTTGACCGCCGCCACGGGTAGGAAGCGGCGCGCCGCCGCCGCGGCGGCGCGGGCTGGCCACGTCGCGCCCACCGCACCCACCTGCTCACAGCTTTCGTGTCGTCGGCGGCAAGACATTCCAACTCCTCGGCCGCACCCACGGCACTCCACCGCCTCGGCGGCGGTTGGGCAAGCGGCGGGCGCTGGGCGGGCGGCGCGCGCGGCGCGCGCCTCCGCGACGCCGTCGGCGCTGTCGCCACTCGAGCGCCTCCCTGGGGCGGCGGGCCGTTCCGCCTCCTCGCCCTCCTCCTCCGCCTTCTCCGCCTTCTCCGCCTCCTCCTCCTCCGCCTCCTCCGCCTCTTCCATCTCCGCCTCCTCCGCCGCCTCCTCCTCCGCCGCCTCCGCCTCCTCCGCCTCTTCCTTCTCCGCCTCCTCCGCCGCCTCCTCCTCCGCCGCCTCCGCCTCCGCCGCCTTCCGCCGCCTCCTCCTCCGCCG